GAACAACGAGAAAAAAAATATTAAACAAACCATATTTTTATTGCAAACAAGAGGAATAGGAAATAAAAAAGAAGTTCAATTAATGTACACAGATGGAGCAACTCCCTGTACATAAAAAAAACTTCTTGATTTGCAAGTCTAATTGTTATAATACAATACAGAAAGTGATGATTTCCTGAATTACCTAGTTTTCCCTTACTCTCAATAAGGTGGCCTAGGCTGTGCCCAAGCATATGCATCTTGATTCAAATGTCCACCATTTGGTAGTAAATTTGGTAACAAATTGTAATTCATTGGCAGTGAAGAAGGATCAGGAATCCTGTGTTCTGGTTGTCCTCCACCGGTTCCGATCCCTGGCGGTGAATTCCCTGTCCCTTCGACCGAGGCACCCGCCTTGTCCTCATCTTCAAGAGGCAATCTTTCATAACTTGCATTAGTAAAAGTAGCAGCAATGACCATAACAGGCCCTGCTGCCATAAGTGGTCCGACAACACATCCCCCTACCACCTGCCCCTGACCACCAGCTAGGTACACCTTCAACCCAGTGGCTCCTTGCGGCGCTGGGCCAGGGAGGAAAGCCCCGGTTAGTGACAGAATCTCAAACTTGCCAGGGAGAGCCACCGCGGCACCAGGCTCAGCCGGCTGTTTGATGGTGATATTGGCTACTGATCCACTTCCACTCAATACACACACGCCTCGTTGACGCCTTCTGGCGAATTGGGATATGCTTTCCGCCACATCTGCACCACCAGCTACCTCCATGACATGGCTACGCAGCGCGTTAGGGAAATCTCGGGTGACAAATATTGGTGGCTTTGGCTTGTTCTTCGATCCAGATGGCCGGCCTCGAGGTCTACGAGTACCAATCTCTACAGCACCCTCTTTAGGCTCGTCTCCTGTGTCTCTCTCTTCTTCGTCATCGCCTCTGCTGCTACTTCCTCCACTTCTTTCATTGATGAATAATTCTCTCTCACTTTTTTTCGTCAGAGACCTCGGTTCTAAACCCATGAACCCCACCTGTCCTGTCCACCACGGATTTGCCATGGCTGAAATTTTGCTCAATTCAGATTAATGAAAAACACAGATCTTGATGATTGACCTTTGCCTCCTTTAACTTTCTTGATTGACTACAAACAAATTTCAAACCCTAATATCAGCTTTTTTTTTTTTTTCTGATTTTGGACATGAAATTCACTATAGTCTAAGATCTACACACTTGTTCGATTAAAGATCACAGATAGATTTATAGGAAGATAAAAAGTTTCATAGCTTCACCTTTATCAACTCTGAACCTCTTGAATACAATCTATCGCACGAAGTAACTTTTGAACCTAGCAAAAAGAGTTGTATCGATCTGAGAAGGCAACCCAACTGAAAGTCAAAGGATTCATAGTACCCTCAGCCTCACGGACTTGATATCAAATTCTTTTACCCCGGAGAAATCTAGGGAGAGAAAGAGAGATTATAGCATACAGAAATCTAAGGAGTTGAAGGAAAATTAAACCCAATAAACAGAATCAGGTAATAAACACAGAGGATAAGGGAATAAAGCAGGCAAAGATTGAAAATGTATTAATTACCAGTAAAAGTTACTACTGGAACATATATATGTAAAACCTCTATCTTTTCCTATGTTCTGATATGCTCATCATGCAGTGAATTGGGAAGCTAACATTTTTCTGTTCTTTATACTACTGTACTCACACACTCTCTCCTCTTTCTTGGTAATTCTCCGAGAAAATTAGGGTTTAGAGTGGTGGGGTCGCGTGCAAATGGGCAGGTGGGGAGCACGTCGCTGTCTCGTGCTCCGACATATTGAACGGAGGGCGGACATTATATATTTATTTTATTTACACGTGTTACATTTTCATAAGTACCTACGTCATTGATTGTGAGTCGGCCATTGTATCGACTGTTCTCCAAATATACTTTTGATTGATTAATATATTAACTATATATCGACACATCAAAATATATGTTGACTTCATTCCATTAGCAAATAATAAGTGTCGACATATCAAAGTGTTAAAATAAAAAAGAATTTTTGTGTTTACATGTAAAATTATCCTATGAAAAAATATATGGTTGAAAAAATAAGTCTTTGAAAAAATGGATGCCTAATGGGGGCTATATATACTATAAAATTAGTTAATTTAATGTTTGCTTCTTCAATATTAACAATCTTGTCTCAAATATTATATCTGCACAAAGTTAGAAAAGAAAAAAAGAAAAAATCCAATCCAATTCTATACATATAGTAAACAAGTGTAACTGATTTTACTAATAAATAAATACAATTTAGTTTTAATCATCACAAGATATAATTTTTTTTTTTCCTTTGATAGAGATATAATTTTTCAAATTTGACTGTAATTAAAATAAAAGAGGAAATTCAAACTTGATATTTATGTGACAAATATTTTCCGATATCAAGTTCTGATGAGGAATCGTTTGAAGCTCAACTACTCGTTAACTACTACTGCACCTTCAAATGAAATGGTACAACTCACGACTTTAATAAGTTGAATCGTAATAATTAATTATAAGTTGATTAGACAGACACAACACACAAGTGAGTCAATGACTTCAAATTATTTACTATGTTTGTTTTATCATACATACTTCTGAATAACCACCATAATTTATTAGATAATTAGGAGAGGAATGATTAATTTACTCTTTAACTTTATTTGAAATATTGAATTTGAGATAGTTTTAAACTATAAACTAGCTAATGCAATGAAAAATCATCTGCCTAATGTGACTTGGAGGTTGTTTGACAAAATGTTTGATAAAAAATTGAGCAAATTTTGATAAATATAAATGAAATGTGTGGTTAAAAGAAGATAAAAAATATGTTCTACAAAATATGTTGTTAAAATTAATTGTTAACTTTGATTTTACTTTTTAACAATTTTTTAAGTTATTCCAAACAAGCACTTTGTATAATTCATTGACACATCTTTAATGCAATTCAATTTTGTTTATCAAGTTTTGACATGATGCATTCATACAAAAAATAAAATAATAATAAATAAATAAATCGAATCTCCCTAATTAATTTCATAATCTACCACTAGTAGAACAAAAACTATTTCTGTTTTCGAATCTATTATACCTCTATCTCAATTACGATATACAAAATGGTTCTATGAAAATTTACAAATGATCACTCAAAATATAATTCTCTATCTCTTGGCCAAATTCATGAACAACGGTAAACAACACGTATATGACTTTTTAGTCTCGATACGATTCTCAAATCATTCGACTTGTTGTGTACTGGAATGCTCTAATACCAATTTGTTGTGAGAAAATAAGAGATTAAATGTAATATAAAGTAATTGATCACAAAATCATAAGAATAATATAATTTTGCAGAGAATGAAGATTTTATTATAATATGGAGAGAGAATGCAAAAAATTTGTACTTATAATTTGTTTAACTTCATCTAAATAATAATGAAGAGCCAATTATATATAGGGAACAAATATGGTACGTCCAAACCCTTATAGTAGAATTGTAGTTGAAATAGAATGTCAAAAACGAAAAATGAAACCAAAACAGCGCAGGGAGGCAAAACAGGTGGCGCCGCCCAATGCCTAGGTGCCTCGTCTCCTACCCAAACTCCTTCCAATGATATTTTTCTTTATTCCAAAGTCTTCTTCAAGTCCAACACAAATTCATACTCCTAATGAGCTTCCAAGCAGAATTTCAATTAGAATTTGTCAAGTAAACTTGAATAAGATTTCACAATTGCATTCCAAATATGATTCTAATTAATGTGCATTTTAATTAGAACTTCCAATTATCTTCAACAAAGAATTCGGGTCACACCCAAATTCTAACAATATCCACATTGATACGAATTCCACTATAATGAACAAAACTTCAAAAGAATTCTCCACATGGAGACAAATTCCACTGTAGGGAATAAACTCGAACTCTTCAATAAAAAACACAAACAAACTTCTCCATCAACAATTCCAACTGAAAAATTTTCTTCATCTCTACTACCACAACTAGGGGCAAAAGTAATGTAATGACCATCAACACTCTTAATCGCATCCAAACCATCAACAAAATCAGCATACCTATGTGGAATATTATAGCAAAACATGGATATATTTCTGGCAATTGAATCTGATGATACCGTCGATAATGATGACAAGACAGATTTACCTATATCTTCAAAATTCAACTGAGATGTATTTTGAAAAGAAGACCCCGATTAGACTCCAATGGTACAAAAACCAACTTTAAATCCACCCGAGTTCTTAAAATATGTTGATTGTTAGAAAATTATGTATCACCCTACAAGAAATATAAATGTGATTTTTTTATATCCCATCAGTACAATACGGGTTCCTTTGACAATGTTCAGAATTCTACCTTCAACAGTGTACGTGTACCCCTTTGAATTAAAAGTACTTAAAAAGATAAGATTTTTCTTCAGATCTGGAATGTGTCGCACTACATCAAGTGTTCTAACCGTCCCATCAAGCATCTTTATTCTAACCCGACCAATAGTATCTATCCGATAAGGTATGATATTATTGGTCCTCATAACACCTTTTGAAACTTTTTCATATGTTGAAAATAATTTTTGATTAGGTTACATATGAAAAGTGCAAGTTGTATAAAAAATCCAAGTCTCATCAGATTTGGAGTTGTAGTCAGACATAAGTAAAAGCTCTACATTACTGTTAGAATTTTCTGCAATACTTGCTTCTCTTGAAGTATCTAATTGTTGATTTGCAATTGACTTTGATTTATTCTACAACTTATAACAATCATTTACCAAGTGTTTCCTTTTCTTGTAATAATTACAAAATTTGAAGTTAGGTTTTGACATGCCCCTTCATGAAAATGAGACCATCTCCATGATTCCAGATGCTTCAGCTTCTCCTTTGAATACAGAGCTTCATATATTTCTTCGATGGTGAAAGTATCACGACTATATAAAATCGTGTATGTAAAAGACAGGTATGAATGGACAATGAATACAACAAAATCAATTCCAAATCTTCTTCATCATATTTGACGTTCAAGGTCTCCAAATCAGCGACGATATCTTTAAAAGGAGCTAGGAGATCTTTAAGAGATGTACTTTCTGTCATACGATGAGAATATAAACATTGCTTTCGATGAAATTTGTTCATAAGACTCTTCGTCATCCAAATTGCTCACATTTTAACCATAATTTAAGGGCTGACTTCTCCTTTAAAACGTCATAAAAAATTTTATTGAAAAGATGAAGATGTATTTGAGATAGGGCCTTAGGATCCCTACATTGTTTCTTTTCCATAGTTCAAGTTGTGAGCATTTTGTCAAATCCCAACAATGCGTCATCTAAATCCATCTGAGCAAGTACAACTTGCATCTTTACCTGCCATAAAGAGAATCTTATATTACGATCTAATAGAGAAATATCATATATCAGTTTCGTCATCACGAAAAATCTCAATCTTCCCAAAAATTTCAACACCAAAAGCTTTGATACCAATTCTTGACTGGAAAGCTCTGATACCAGTTGTTGTAAGAAAATAAGAGATTAAGTACAATACAAAGAAATTTTTCATAAGAACACAAGAATAACATAATTTTGTAGAGAATTGAGATTTTATTATAATATGGAGAGAGAATAAAAAAATTATGTGTTTCTGATTTGTTTAACTTTTTCTAACGTCTTCTAAATAATAATGAAGAGCCAAATATATATAAAAAACAAGTAGGGGACGTCCAAAATGACACCGGCCTTGTTGTTGAAATTTACAACTTCCGGTACCTTGTTACCGACCCAAACTTCTTCAAATGATGTTTTTCTTTATTCCAAAGTCTTCTTCAAGTCCACACAAATTACTACTCCTAATGTGCTCACAAGTAGAACTTCAATTAGAATTTGCCAAATAAACTTAAATATGATTTCACAATTACATTTCAAATATGATTCTAATTAATGTGCACTTTAATTAGAAAACACAATTATTTTTAACAAAAAATTCGGTTCACGCCCAAATTCTAACATGACTATTGGCCGAAATCATTAAAATCAATAACAAAAACTCATTAATTTATATTTAAAGTCAAAACATGATCATTGAAATTAAACGTCAAAAGTAGATTACATCATTACCCTAATACTCATGTAGTTGAAGCTTTGAGCTTCCGCTTTGTCTTCTGCTTTGTTAAGTTCTTCAAAATCCTTGATTGTTCTCTTGAATTCTTCGAGTCTCCAAAAATTATGTGGCCCTTTCCTTGTAGTCTTTAGCTTTCATATTCCACTCACAAAATATGCACAAAATAGTTCCATAAATAGTAAAGACCAAATTTTAGTTAGACTGATCAAAAGTTGCTCACTCAAGCGAGAATTTCCTGATGCAAAGTTTGCTCTCTATCTCTGGTTGCTCAAGCGAGCCACACTCTTTGTTATTTTTCTTCATTTTTTGCCTTTGTTAAATAAGTGGGTTGCCTCATGACGTAGCGGAAGATTATAGGAAAGATGAACAACCTCACAAATATGAGATAAACTCACGAAAGTTTTTATTCAATTCAATAATGTCTGGCTCGAAGGGCTTACAATGGTTTAAATAGCAAAACCCTAGCAAATTTCGGAAAATAAATAATAAAAATAAAAAAAATGATATTTTTCCATAAATGGAAAAATTCGAGATTCTAACTTAAATGGAAACTCCTAATATTCAGGATCGTCCTCCAACAAACGGAATCAAAATCCGAATTTTATTCAATGAGATATTACCAAAATAAAAATTACCATAAACGGCAAAAACGCGTGATCGAGAGCCTAAACGATGGAATCTGTCCGAAATCCGACGTACGTCATGGCCGAAGGCGATGAGTTGTGATCCTTGGCCCGTTTCCACTCAAATTAGACTATTAATTCGTCAAAAACGGACAAACCCAAAGTTATCATGAAATCATTATTTTGCCTTGCGATCCCACTTCATCATAAATTCTAACTCCTTATGCACTTCATCATTCTCCCCAGGGTGAGAAAAATTCGCCCTCGAATTTGACAGGGAAGAAGTCTCATCATCATCAGAATTATCACCACGAAATGGCACCAGATGCTTGACATTAAACACGTCGGATGTGCGAATATGACTTGGCAGCTTTAAACGATAAGCATTTGGATTAATCTTCTCAATGACCTCCAATGGACCAATCTTCTTGGCAGTAAGCTTGTTGTATTCATGAGCAGGGATACGATCTTTTGTCAACACCGCCCAAACAAAGTCACCCACCTCAAATTCAACATGTCGACGCTTAAGATCTGCATCATGCTTATATTTATTAACAGCAGCCTGCAACTGAGCATGAGCCTGCGAGTGAATCTGCTGTAACTGTTGAACGAAGTCCTCAGCCTTACCATGCATTTTAACAGAAGCAGAAACTGGGGCCAAGTCAAGGGGACCACGAGGAACGAGACCATAAACTACCTGAAATGGACTAAAACCTGTACTCCGGTTGACAGCATGATTATGAGCAAATTCTGCCTGACACAACTTCTGATCCCAAGACTTGATGTGATCACCAACCAAACAACGTAGTAAATCACCCAATGAGCGATTAACAACCTCTGTCTGTCCATCTGTCTG